AGGTTGTTTAAGATCTGCTAAGATTTGAGGAGTGTTTGTGCTTTTTATTTTTGGCATATTCTGTAAGTAGGCTTAAGTATTACCTGCCCTTTTCTGAAGTTTTGACTGAATATTTTTACCTTATGTATGACTAAATTCTTTAACTTAAATATATCCTTTTACATTTAGGAAAACTAATAAATGACAAAAGCGGTAAAAAGGAGTAATTTTAAATGTAATTTATTAGTTAAAGCAGGTGATAACCCATGTGTCCTTTTTTTTTTTTTTAAAGATTTTATTTATTTGTTTGACAGAGAGAGATAGTGAGAGATAGTGAGAGCAGGAACACAAGCAGGGGGAGTGGGAGAGGGAGAAGCAGGCTTCCCGCTGAGCAAGGAGCCCGATGCGGGGCTCGATCCCAGGACCCTGGGATCATGACCTGAGCCGAAGGCAGACGCTTAACGACTGAGCCACCCAGGCGCCCCGCATGTGTCTCTTTTTTATATAAGCTATGTAGTCTTAAATTCGATTAATTGAATATTTATAAATTGAGTGCTATTTAAAATGAACTAAGGAATCTCACTGGGTAAGGTAACCCTGACTCTAATCCTTTGGTAATATAAATAATTGTGCTTTGTCTTAGCAGTTTGGGCATAATTGTCCAGAAAGTCAGAAGTCAGGTTTATTGCAGAATCAAGAGAACCTTCTGAGGACTGCAGGGAGTTACAGAAGGTGATGATCCTTTCATGGCTTAGAGATGCAGCCTTGTCAGGACTGGTCCTGCAGATATACCTAGGTGCTTAGGAGATGAGGCAGAGCTGGGATAGCCTACACTTACAGATCTTTCTGGGATCAGGTTTGAGGAAGTGAATACCTAGGTTATGGGGCACCTTCTAGGGTGGAAACATATCCGACGTCACGTGGAAGCAGTAGCTGTCCCTAGGCAGGTACTGTTTTCTTCTGATCAGATGAATGATTATTAGTACATTTTTCTGAATCCCTAGAAATTCCCTTCTGTTTTCTAGATTGTACTGTGAGGGGGTTTTGTTGATATCATTGTGATATCTTTGGGTTTGCCTACATCTACCTCCAGGAAGTTCCATCTTAGCAGGATGAACCAGCGAAGACTGAGGTCATGTGAGTAAATGACCCCTGCGGACATGCAGGCAGCTTCCCAGACTTCAGGGCTTGAACAGCTGATAGAGTTCAGATAAGCAGTCCAGCTGGCTACATCTTCTATTTCCCACCCTTAGGTTGAGATGGAGGAAGTAGAAATTGAATAATAAAATGTCTCTAGAAGAAGCCTAGATAACAATCTTGATTGTCACAGTCACTGTCTTGTGCTTAGCCCAACTAGCCCATGGCTTAAGGTTTATATGAACTCACATGAAGCTAGATCTGTAGTTTCTTGTGGCTGTGAATTTCTAGTTCCTTGGATATTTAGGAGTTCTTGTGTGGATTGAATGAAATTCATCTCTGAAGAAAGTTAATAACAATGAGGGTAACCAGAGGACACCATGAAATGCTAATACCTTGTCTGTTATGTCTCATGTATTGTGTAAATCTGACAACAACTTCACCTCAAAAGCCAGAGGCCACTCTGGAGAATTCCAGGGGGAACACTTTACAACATGCCTTTAGTAGTGTTTCCATAGGTATCAATATCAGAGCAGCCTACCTCCATCTGTACTTTACTTAATCCTGTAGAGGACCGAGGAGAAATTCAGAGCAAGTTCCTTTCTTCTAACTGAGAGGTCCCTTATGCAGAATACACTGATGTACTATATATGAGTAAAACAAAAACAAGCTTCTTGTCTCTTGCTTCTCTCTGCCCTTCTGTGTCGGGGGAGGATAAAGAAGAAGGTCCCTAGCCCAAGGGATCTTCAGGATTACAGCTTTCAACTCTGTAGTTAAGGTATATTGATGATGGAGTAGGGTGAGGGGGAGATGTAGCCTGTGGGCTCTGTAGGTGGGATGTGACACAGGCTGGATAGGGTATCTGATTACATCAGGTTGCTTCAAGGGGGGGGCCAGAGTGCACCTCCTTTTATGATGCTGACTGGTACTGAGCAGCCTTTTACAAAGATTGGCTAGGCTTTCATTGTCTCGGTTATGCATGCCCAAATAACCCACTAACCCTCTCAACTTATAACACACATACAAAAGACAGATATTTAAAGGCTGGGGATACGGTAATGAACATGCTGTCCCTAATTTTATGGAGAGACAGAATATAAACTAATAATAATATGAGGAAAAAATAAAGCAGAGTGAGAAGAAAGTGGGTGAAAGGGGTTGGAGTGTGCCATTTTAGACAGTAGGGTCAGAGAAGGCCTTCCTGAGAAGGTGACGTTTGGGCAAACCTAAATTATCAGAAGGAGCAAACTCTGCCAAAATATGGAGAGCGCAGATTGCAGGTCAAGGAATCAGCAAGTAGGAAAACTTGAGGCAGGAATGTCTCAGCATCTTGAGGATGGGAGGGCTGGTGTGGCCTGAGGAGCTGAGAGAAGGAAGAGTAGAGGAGAGAATGTCAGAGGTACTAGGTCCTTGGAAGGGAGGAAGGATTTTATTATGGGTGCAGTGTGAAGTAATCAGTTTTGAGCAGGTAAATGATGTGCTCTGATTGATGTTTTTAAAAGATCTATATGCTGATTGGAGAACGGGTTGCAGGGGGACATTGTAGGGGCAATTCTGGAAGCAGGGAAACCAGCTAAAAGGCTATTACAGTAATCCAAGTGCAAGGAGACTGGCTTGGATCACAGAGAAGCATTTACTTCTAAATTCAAATTATTGCACTATACTTAAAGTACACCATCTTGCTCTTAAGAGTTACAGATATCAAATGACTTAGGAGATAGTTTTAGGACCAGGTGGAAAAAAAACTCATTGGAAGGCAGCATTTGTTTGCAAAGTTCAGGTCCCAGAAAGAGGATATTCCGTCACACCACTAACAAGAGGAGTAGTTCACTGTTCTTATGGGGATTGATTTCTCGAAGTAGAGGAGCCCACTAGGAGAGGCGATGCAGGGAGTAGCCCTGCGGCCACCCTTAAAAAAAGGTGCCCAGCATTAAGCACAAGTGTGGTATTAGGAGTAAACCTGAAGAGAGAACTGGCTGGAAGTTAATGTTCTTACAGTGGTCTGAGGCTGCTGGGGTATGTGGACGTGAGGCCTCCCCCCTTTCCCTGTCCTGTTGGAATGCATTCCCTTTCCAACAATAGGAATTCCTCTCTTTTACTGAGGACCCCCAGTGTAAAGTTGTCAACTCTCGCCACCTGGTGTAGCCCTGTTCCTGCTCGGAGACACCACAGGAGACTCTGCAGAGGCAGAACGTGGGATACCAGAAGACCGGTCCACAGCCCTTCTTCCTATCCTACCTCTGCTCTCATTAGCTGAAGGCTTTTAATGTGCTTTAGTTGCTCAGGTGCTCCCAGGTTCTACACTGCCTTTGACATTGTCTTTTCTACAACTAGCTGCCAGCCCTTGGATGTCCAGGAGTGCCCTCTCCCCTGTGTAGCCTGTGGCCAGGAGTCATTTGCATCTCAGATATACCCAAGAATTCGCTTCAGCATTGGTTGCTTTGTGTGGTCACACTGGTTCTGCATTCTCCTTTTGGTCTTGTATATAAACAGGCCATGCGGGGGGATGCATTTTTAATTTTTAGTATCCTGTAATCTAGCAGAGTGCCTCTAGACCTTCCTTCACATGCCATTTTGAGACCTGTCTCTTAGAGTCTTGTATTTGCATCTCAGTCTCTCAGACTCAGCAAATTTGTTGGTATATTAAAAAAATATATGCATTTCCTCACAATTTAAGAGTAAAGATTAAATGATCTGACAGTGTCACAATGGAAATTACTGGATTCTCATGTGACTTTCCTGCTTTGTGTAGCTTCGTGACTTTTATGCAGTTACATTGGTGGGTATTCTCTGCTGTCTTCTCCCCAAGTCTGTCTTCACTTTCTCCAGTTGAATGCTTAGGATGCTTCTAGCTAGGACATGGACCTATGTGGGCTTATTCAATATTATTCCCTAAATGGATGTAATTGTTGACTAGTTACTAGTTACTCAGTCTTTCCCCAACTTTGGTGTAGCAGGTTGTTCTAGCTTCATTGCGGGTTTTTCTGGAGCAGCTGACCACGCTTTCCTTGGAGGAGATGGGGGATGGGCATAAGGCCCATTTCTCTGTGTGCCCATAGCATTCTCTGTGCCTGTTTCCTATTGACAGATGTGGTGGTGACACCCGATCCTGGATCCAGAAGAATTTATGACTTTCATCTCAGTTCACTTTATTTTTTTTTTCCCTCACAGAAAGTGATTTATTGCTTTTAGAACAAAATAAGATGCTTTCAGAACTTTTGTTAGTGAAGGAAAACAGCACTTGAAAACTTTTCTAAAACCTGATTTTGTGAGCTGATGGAAGTAAGCACTTCAACATAGAACACTTGCCCCTTGCAACTGTGTGGAGCCGGAGCTGTTGGTTCGATAAAGCTAACCCCTTAGGAGCGGGGCTCGTGCTTGCGGCCGCTGTACCAAGTGTCGGGTCTGACCTCCTCGCCCTGACGCCTGCGGAGCTCTGCCTCCTCCAGCACCCACTCACGGCTCTTCCTCACCACCCCGCACCTCACGGTCCTGTAGGGCATCCTATGTGGGAGACACGCCTCTGAGGAGATGGATGGCGCGGCCTGGCTGGTACCCGAACGAATCCAGGCAGGGAGCAATGAGTTGGGTGGCCTCGGATGCCCCTTCCGCCACAGAATTCCCCACTTTTGGACTCCCTCTCCTCCTCCAATGATATGCCCAGGGGCCAAAGCCATTGTTTAGTAGGAGGGCAGGAGGTGAGAGACCGCACTCCCTCACAGGCCTCTTTGTGGTAGATGACTATGTGTTTAGGTGTGTTTGTTAGGTGTTGCCTGTGGGGCAGGCTGGGGGCCAAGCTACTTGTGGGGCAACGCAGGCCAGGATCAGCTCCTGAGAGCCTGGCACTACCCAAGGAGAGCTAGAGGCAGGAAACTTGCAACTACAGATGTCTGAGGCAGGAAAACAAGCCTGCCAGCGTGTGGCAGCCCTGACAGCCATCCTCAAGGGCGGATCTTGGCCTTCAGCACGGACTGAGGAGAAAAGGGCATCTCACTTCATTTTAAATTCAGATACAGAGGCAGCCACAGAATAAAATCAATCCCATTACTTTACAATTTTCTTATGCTATCTACCCTCTAATGAAGCACCTGCCTCTCCTCCTCTGTATATTATATGTATGTATATGTATATTATATGTATATATAATATATATTATATATGTGTCATGTTGTGTTATATATTACTTTTATGTTACATATAACACACAAAGCACATATATTTATACACACAGACACAGACACACATATGTATCTACTTCTGTCTCCAAATTTCTCCTGTGCTGCAGACCTATCCATCTTCACTTAGTCCCACAACCAAAACTCAGTTATGTCCCAGATGGAACTCATCCCCCTCTCCCTGCATAAGTTTGCATCTTCTCCAGTGTTCCTTATCTGGGTGAAGGGCCTCACCATCTCTCCACTTACCGGAACTTTCATGTCATCTTCTTGCTCTCCCTCATCTAATGAATCTCCAAAGTCTGTTGATCCCAGTCGTAAGTGGTCTTTAATCCCTCCTACCTAGTTCATTTCTTGCTAAGATTGCTTCAGTAGCCTCCTCAGTGGTTCTTCTATTTTCAGTCTTCTTCACCTCTAAAATTGCACGTTGCTTATAGAATGCTTTTTCTAAAACATAACTGTGTACCTATTGTTTCCCTATTAAACTGGTTATTCTGTTTGTTCCCACAGATCCATTCTCTTCCTTCCTTCCCCGGCTTGGTGCCTGGAAGCTGGCATCTGTGGACTGTATCACCTGGGCTTGTTTGCCCTTTGGTTCCCATTGGGTTTGGCCAGTGAGAGGCCCTGATGGGAGGGCAGGAGAGAGAGGTTGAAGTAGTCATACCTTCATCCCACCATCCTACATTTTGGCAAGGATTGCATCCCATTAGACTGTCCCCCGGGCTTCAGTAGCTCCAATAACATCGAGTCCTACCTTTGCCGTTTCAGGCCTAGGGATGTTAAAGGCTTCCGGCTGTTGTTGATGTCTAGGAAGTTCATGGTGCCTTAGTTTACAGTGTTAATGCCTTAACTCTGTCCACATCCTCACTGAACTCTTCAGTGAAACCCTTTGGAGTGTCAGCAGTTTCCTGCTGAGACTTTGATACTTACCTAAAATGCTTCAGTGCTCTGCTTTCAGCATGAAGTCCATACTCCTTAAAGTGGTAACCACTGCTTACCTTTCTACTGCAGATGTTGAAAGGTCCTCATGTATTCCCCACACTCCATCCTCAGTGAATGACTGAACCACTTCTGTGATTTCCCTCATCTCTGTGGTTTTGTACATACTTGCCACCCTCTAACCTGTCTTCTCTGTCTCGTTGCCTCCGACTTATCCTTCAGTACTCAACTCACATTTCCTCTTTTCTAGAAGCTGCCCCCAATTCTTGCCCTTTACTTCAAGATTGAAGTACCTGTTCTCTGTGTTCTTACAGTGCCTTCCATATATCATAAGAGTATTGACACTAGACTGTAATTTTTTGTCTGTCTTCTGTGGGTTGGAAAGACTGAGGGACTATAATTACCATGTAGAAGAATTCATTGGTTAGAGAATGTAAAAATAGCATTATTTTTGTGCATAAAAAAGAAAAAAAAAGATAAGATTCTGGGAACTTAAATATTTTTAGGAAATATATTCTCTTTTCCATCTCTCAGTTCCAAGGTGTAAAGCTCTGAAGGAAATGGATTTTATTAAAACTTCTAACTCAGACTGTTATTGCTACAATCAAAATTCCCAAGTGGAGTGGAAATACATGTGGTCAACTATACAGGTAAGAGCCTACATTTAAATCATGTCTTAGGAACTGAGAATTAAAATGTACTATTTCAAGAATAAAAAATAGCTTTTATATGACACAAAGCAGTGTATCAGTATGAAAGCTGATTTGGGAATCACATAGAGTGGCCCAAGGGAAAGGGACGTGTGGAAGGGAACATTAACTCTTCATACTCTCTGTCAGCCCTTCTCCAAACCACTCCAAATAAATATGGTATCTAAGTGAGCACAGCGTACTTGCTGTTCAGACACAACTCAAGACAACACCCTCTCTCCTACTTTCCAAAATAATTGCTGTCCCAACTGCTCTCTGATCCCAGGTATGGCCAAGATAATAGTTAATCTCAGTAGCCTAGTACCTTCCTTCATTCAGCACTTAATATATTTATTAAGCACTTGCTAAGTGCCAGGAACTACTATTATAGGCTCTTAGGATACATCCATATCTTAGGATCCTAAAACAGATCCCAGCTCCTGTGATGTTTATACTCCTAGGGGTAGGGGATAGGCCATAAATGTAATAGAGAAGAAAATTATAAAACAAGTAAGTGCTATGAAAAAAGAAAATGTAAAGTAGGTGGAATGCGGGAGGTGGGGAGCAAGTTACAGTATAAAAAGAGTGGTCAGGGTAGTTCTTGTTGAGAAGGTGATAGTTGAGAAAGATTTTAATGAATTTAGTGAGTTACCAAGATAATATGCCAAGAGAGTGTATTCTAGGCTGCAGGAAAAGATAGGACAGCATATCAGAAGGCACATGATGTTGATATGTACTATTACTGATAATATACACCACTTTGATCACCTGGTTAAGGTGGTATCTGGCAATTTACAGTTTTACCACTGTAAAGTGACCATTTTGCCCTTTGTAATAAGTATTTTGAGGAGGTAATTTGAAACTATGTAGATATCCTTTTCCTCATCAAACTTTCACTCCCTAGTTTTATCATCCATTGATGATGCTTGCATGAATCAATTATCATCATGATGTTTATCAAATGGTCATTTTCTAATTCCATTATTCTTTCTACATTCATCAGCACTCTTCAATAAGGAGGAGTTTTTCCTCCTCCACTTTATTTATATCCACATAGTATTACAGATTGCAAATTGATTCAGTGGATTATAATCCATTACCTCATTATTTATTTTGACATTCAAATTGTCCTGGATTTGGCCAGTAGGAGCACCTTCAGAGTAGCTCATGTGTCCTTTTAATTTGTATCTATCATTTGAGCATCTTCTGGCAAACAAGATGTTCCAGGCTTTTCTTATAATTTCTTAAACCCAGCTCTGGAATCACACATTTTTTCAAGGAACATTCAGTTAGGTGTGTTTATTAGTGCTGGGATACCATTGTCATGTGTAGACACCGAAACATACACACCCATACACCTGTGCACATATCTGTTTCTGTCTCTCCATCTGTTGAGAAACATGAGTTCTGATATCTTCCATACTACTGGGTTCATTCTAATCTCTCTCCTTGCCATATTTGTAACTTTTTTCTCTGATGGGGGAAACTGGTTTTCATTATTCTCAATATATTGATTTATTTGTCTAATGCTAGAATAGTAATTTGTTTATTATTTATTTGTCAATATTTGTTTAGAGTGTGTTTTACCTCTAGTTTAAGAGTATATAGTCTAAATACTGTGCTCCAGAATTAGGTTAATTTATTCCCACACACCCTCCTTTAATATGGTTATATTATTCATTTGAAATATATTGGGTTTTATTTGTTTCCATTTCCATTTGAAATATATTTGTTTTTATTTGTTTTCCCAGGGTTTTTCCCTATCTTAGTTGATCTTATTATCATTTATTAGTAGGTACGGTATTAATATGGTTTTAAATCACAACTCTGTGCAGGAGTATTCTCAGAGAAGTGTCACGCCCCCTCATTCCTCTACCCATTCCTACCAAGCCCTTGTGGGTAGTCAGTCTTACTAGATTCTATGTCTTTCCTGTGTTTCTGTCTGCAAAATGAAGCAATGCATGTTTATAGACAGTGCTAAGGAGTGAGTTTAGATGGAGGACCAAGAGATGAGCCTTGGGTCAGTCTTATATATAGGCAGGAGGAAGGAGCCAGCAGAGGAGAGAGAGAAGGAGCACAAGTGAAGATGTCCAGGAAACTGCAGGAAGAAGGTGTTACAAGGAGAAGGGAATGATCAGCAGTGCTAAATGCTGTTGATGGATCAAATACGATGACTGAGAATGAATTGGCCATTTGATTTAGCAACATGGAGGCCACTGGTGACCTTGTCGGGGACAGCCTGTTGGGAATGAAACACTCCATGATTGAAGAGGGTTAAAGAGAGAATGGGAGGAAAAGAACTGAAGATTGCAGGTATGGGCAACTTTTTAAAAGAATTTGTTTGCAATGGGAAGCAAGGGGATAGTTGGAGGGGAAAGTAAAGTCAAAAGAAGGCTTTCCCCCCGCAATGGGAAAAGTATCAACATGTTTGTATGCTGGTAGTGATGTAGGAAAGATGTTAAGGTTTGAAGTTAACAGCCAAGAAAGAATTCTTGAGACATCTTTGGTGCAAAAGGTGAGTTCATTAAAGTATGGGGATGGGACCATGGGCAGAAAGAGCTGCACTGAGATCATGAGCAGTGGCTTATTATATACTTCTGAAGTTGGGAGGGGGTTAGGGATAGCGTAAGTCTCTAAGGAATTTTGGAAGCAAGGTTTCCAGGACCTTGAGAGGACTAGCTATTGTTGGGAAAAGGTCATTTATTACTGACTAATAAAACCTGAATCATGAGACCCTTCAGATGTATATTGGTGGGTCATATGCTTGGGGGATGATTGCCGACATGTATCTTGGGCGGTAGAGATAAAGGAAGTTTCCAAAGGAATTTTTATATGTTAAAATAGACTTACAGGATCCTGGGGGTTGGGCTAAGATTGCCTTTTGCCCTTAGCAAAGTATGAACATTGAGGCAGCTGAGTTTCTAGAGGAATGTCACTCTCCCTGTTTCAAGGACTTATCAGTGGGCTATAGGTAGAAAGGAAACTTAATTTTTCTTTTGCCTTTGTTTCCCACATCAATAGGATGGTCCAATAGAGAGGGAAGAAGTATTAGGATGTCCTTGAGTAGACAAAGGTGGATCTGATTCAGTGCCCTTAGAATCTCCTTTAAATCTCCTGTGTGGCAGAAAATTCCTCCCCACAGGCAGGAAGCAGAGCACGTGCCTGCAGGTGCCCACCGGTGGTTGGGTAATGGGATAGGAGCCTGTTGACATCGTTTTCTTCCATTTTCAGCCAAGAGTGAGGATGAGGAGGAGGTGTTGGTATTAAGGAAAGAAAAGCTGTGAAATCTTTGTTGAAGAGAGTGGAGAGTAGATAGGAATGTGTGGTATGATCGCCTGTAGCTTCAGGTCCCATTTCAGTTTCACACTCAGGGGCGTGTAGTCAGACAGCTGTGTGTCTATCTAGCACCATTTGGTGGTGAAAATGCAAGAGTGGAATGGGTGGAGAGTTGGATTTTGCAGGTGGGTGTGACAAAGCAAGAACAGCGCAAAGGAGTCAGGGGTACATGCAAGGGAATGATTTATAATCATTGATCATGGAATTTAGCTGGATAAGAAGGGGCTAAGGACATCAAAGGGGTGAGGAGCAGGGGAAAAATGCTTGATCCATGGTGGGTCAAAGGCTTCCTGGGTTCAGGGTCCTATAAGGGGCATGTTGGAAAGGTAGGAGTTGGTGGTCAGCCAGTGGGATGCATGAAACAACCTGTAGAGGGCCTGTAGTTTGGTAATGACAAGGTCCAGGGTGTGGCCATGGGAGTGATTAGCTGAGGTCGGGCAGAGGACAAGACTACAAGAGGAGAGGAGTTCAAGATGCTGAGAGTCAGAGTATAGGAAGGAGTTTGGTGTATATATTGTGCATATTGAATCCCTGAGAAGTATGACAGGAAATAGAGAGAGAGAGCAATAGTGAGCCAGGAGCTAACATCCAAGAGAAATGAGGGTAGGTAGTGGGTTATATCACCTGATGCCCGAGATTCAGAGCTGGTGATCTCACTCCCCTTTTCTGGCTCACCTTACTCTTGAACAAAGAAGAGTATGAATAGAGAGGGACAGACAAAGGCAGCAGCACAATTGTCATTTAATGATCACTGACTGGATTGTCACTGTCTGCTTGGTACTGTAGCCAGTACTTTGTTGTGAGATTTGAATAGGACCCGTGGTTGGATTCTTCTTCAGAGGGCATGGGGAGAGAAGCCTGAATTACATATGCGCAGCTGATCCAGAGGAAGTGCTTTTTCTCAAACACAGTAGACAATGGTAGAGATAATAAACCCCATTATAAACCAAGTAGTTTGCCACCTGTTACTTTCTGCCATCCTTTTTCCCATGTCCCTTGGCCACACGACTTGCTAGAAGAGGGAGTTAAATCACCTACAACTCGGGGGAAGAAACATCCACTTTGCAAAGTCTCTGCGCTGCTCCAGTATGTTCAAACTAAACACAAACCTGTAGGTCCATCGCTGGGATCCCTGGAATTGTGTACATCTGACTGTCTGTTCTTTACTCTGTTATCTCGGGCTTTCTTTACTCCTCTGCTCATGATTTTAAGGAGCTTATGAGAAGGAGCTTATGTGTTTATAGATTTGTTTGTTCTTATTTTATAGGTGAAAATTACCAGTTCAGGCCTGCTCAATATTGTATATATCACAGAAAGACGTAATTGTCAGTATCCAGAAACCGTTCTATCTTTTATCAAATGTATGATTCATAATTTTTGGACACCAAAGGAGTCTAATGAAATAACCATAATCATCAATCCATATGGAGAGACCATGTGCTTTTCTGTGAAGCCTGTGAGGAAGATATTTGTCTATACAATTAGTGTGAATCGAAACAGTAAGTCTTTTTCTGATTTTCTGGATTGAGTTTTTCTGGAGTGACATTTCAATAAATTGACTTTTCTCTTTTTTCACTAACTACATTGACACAAAATCTTTGTTGTGTGTGTCTTTTTTACTCCAGTTGTAGATTTCAAACTCTTCCTTGTGTTTGTGGCAGGCATTTTCCTCTTCTTTTATGCAAAGACATTGAGTCAGTAAGTATCCATTTTTACTTTCTTAATTTTGTGAATTATCATTTATCCTTTTAAAAAGAGGATAGGACAATTTTGACCCTATGCTAAATATTTCCGTACTAGCTTGTAGTTCTTGCTTTAGGTTTTACAAACAATAGGTCTGAAGATAGTGCTTGAAAGGCCTTTAAAAACTAGTAACAGTACACATGATATGTATGTATATATTACAGAGTGCTTTTACATGCATTATTTTGTTATGTATTAATATGCATTTTTAAAATTTGATCCTCTTAACAATTATGTAAGCTCTGTATTATTGTTCTCATTTTATATATGAGAAAACCAACATTCATCATCACATGACTAGTTCTTGCTAGGGCTGAGATTTATACTCAGGTTTTCTGATGCCAGATGCCTTGCTCTCTCTATTAGATTCAAGCTGTCTCCAAGATTTGTGGCTCTGATACAGAAGGTTGAATTTAACAAGTATCTGACTCTTGGATAAACATATTATCCTGATATTTTGTGTATTACAACTTCTCTCATGAAAAAGGAGTCTTTTTCCAGTAATATTTTACTTCTTAGCTTGCTATTCTTAACATTGTTCATCTTTCTCGTAGTATAATTAAGTGTGTTTAATGTAATCTGTGGCCTTTAGAAACCCAATGTTAGTTACATAGCCTGAAGAGTAACACTTGGACTCAGAGGAACTAGGCTGCAAGCCTGAATCCTCCAGTTGGCAGATACTCACTTGGGGATGGTCTTTAACTTTTTGGTGCCTTTGTTTTCTCCTCTGTGAAACTTAGACATGGATAGCTGGTTCACAGGGCTGTTGTGAATGCATGCAGACCAGCATCTGCTACATGTTAGGTGCTCACTAATTCCTCTTGCATCAGATTCTAAACATAGAAGGTAACTCAGACATTTTGTTTTAAGTTAGTGGCAAGCTGTTTACCATAAACTTCAAGTACAGGCTTCATTTTTTAAGAGTATAGGATGTAATTAAAGCTACCTTCTGAGTTTTTCTCCTTAGTATTCTTTATGGCTACTGTCGTCAGGTCAAACATGGTTTTAATACTGAAAGTGCTGCTTAGCATTTAAATGGCTTTTATCTGCTTGTCTTGACAGAAGTCCTATTTTCTTTTACTCTTCTGGGACCGTGCTAGGTGTTCTAATGACCTTAGTCTTTGTCCTGCTGCTGGTGAAAAGGTTTATTCCTAAGGTAGGCATACTGTGTATAAATGAATAAAAGAGGGAAACCATGATCTCATAGAAATGAAAAATTGATCAAAGTTAATTCACATTGATTGTGACAGTTCCTAATTCAGACTGTATTTCTGCGTTGTATAAACTGACTTTAAAATGTATCTTTTTCTAGAGATTCCATTTTTATTTGTTATTATATATACCCTAAAGTAAGTATTAAGTTTTGATGATAATTTTTTTGAGACCCTTTTACTTTTGGGTAATACAGTTTTCTTATGAGTGGCAGGGGACTGACATATGCTGAGTAGAAATTTGTCTTGTCTTAGCAGAGCTGAGGAATATTGTGATGCTGAACCATCAAGGCCTTGAATACCTGCACTGCTACATCTGGGGATTTCTTCATTATTATTAGTTCCCGAAACACCTTTAATGAAAGAGAGCTCTGCACTTAGTTGAGGATAAATATTAGTTCATGATGATGATGTTGCAGATACTCTGATTAAAGCTTGCAACACCGGCATTATTTTGAGATAAATTTCTTCTTTGAAACAGTGCTTTTCCAACTTTAATGTACTGAGGATCCTATTGAAATGCAGATTCTGACTCAGACTCTGCCATGGGGCCTGAGAGTCTGCATTCCAGCAAGCTCCCAGGTGATGCTGATGCTGCTGGTTCATGGACCATAACTTCAACAAGACTCTAGAGAGTATCTTGAATTGACTTCAATGCAATTTGATGTAGAAGTTTCTAATACAAAGGGTTTATTTGTTTACTCCTATTTTTGTGAGTGAATGAACCAAAAACTGTCATTTATTTTCTTCCACACACAGTATAGCACCTTTGGGGCTCTAATGGTTGGTTGTTGGTTTGCTTCAGTTTATTTTGTGTGCCGATTGATGGAGGATCTGAAGTGGCAATGGCATGAAAACAGAATATATATATTAGGTAGGTAATTTTTTAAAAATATGTCCTATTATTGGTAAAGCTGAAAAGTACAACTGGAGACCTTCTTTGAAAATGTTTCTCTCTGGCATCTAAATTTTCCTTTTGAACTAAGGAGAAGTGCTGTTAAAAATATTTTATTTTATTCCCACAGTTGATGATTTCAGTTCATTAGATCTCATTTTAGACTGTTTTCCCTATGACATCTTTCTTTTTCTGTACTAATGATCAAAAGAGCACAAAAGTATTTGTCTCTTTTGACTGCTTTTATGCTATTGAATTGTGGTTAAGCTCTAACCAGATCTAACTTGTAATGAAAAAATTTCTCTGAAATGTGGCTCTTTCTTTTTCTTAATGTACTCAGCATGAAAGGTGAGAAGTTCTAAATATAAATGACTAATGAAAACTTGAATTTTCAGAAACAGGCTATTAAGAAACCACTTGTTCTTATTTCATGTAACCAAAAACAACTTTTTAAAATTATTTATTTGTTTTAATTGGGAAATAATGGAGAATGGGAGGATCAGTTTTCTCCTAACCCCTTAGCACCAAATTTTTCACAGAAGTCCACCCACCCAAAACAAAAGCAATCAATTTTTTGTTTTCCTTGAAGATTTTGTCTTTAGCTCACTCTCCTTTTTTTGATTAAAAAAATGTTTTTTAAAGATTTATTTATTTATTTGAGAGAGAAAGAGAACGTGCACAGGCAGGGGGAGGGGCAGAGGCAAGAGAGAAATCCTTAAGCAGACTCTCTCTGAGCACGCAGCTGGACAGGGGACTCAACTGCGGAGCTCCATCCCAGGACCCTGAGATCATGACCTGAGCTGAAATCAAGAGTTGCCCGCTTAACCAACTGAGCCACCCAGGCGCCCCTATGATAAAGTATTTTTAAATAAATTATAGATATCATGGTATGTTCCCCTAACTACTTCAATAAGCATCTCTAAAAAACAAGAGCATTTTCCTCTATAGTTAAATAACTGTTAAATCTAAAAAAAATAATAATTACATAAATTACTCAGGTCATGTTTAGATTTAATAGGCGTCCTTGATGGTTGGTCTGTATAAGGGTAGATATAGTCCAGAACCATATTTTGCATCTACTATGTCTTGTAAGTCTTTTATAATCCATAACAATTCCTTTTTTCATCATAGCGATATGCTGAAAAGACCAATCTAGTTGTCTTATAGAGTGTCCCACTTTCTGGATTTCTCTGATTACTCTTTTGCAGTATAATTTAACTTGCTCCTCTCTCCCCTGTATTTTCTGAACTGGAAATTAGACCTTGAGGCTTGCTTAGATATGAATGAAACACTTTCGGTGGAATACATAAGAGGAGATGTGCGTTTCACATTGGATCCCAGCAGGAGATGCAGAATATCTCATTACCCCACTGTTGTTAGTGCAGAAACTGAGCACTGCACTAGCGGGTGCAGCCTGATCCCTCCACTATAAAATTGTATTTTCCTTTTTTAGCTAGAAAGTAAAAATAAAAAATAGAGTTTGTAGCCAACTGTGACATATGCTGAGGCTTAAATCCTGACCAAAGCAACCATGATAACATTTGTCCAACTAGGACTCTGGACTAAAAAACAGATATATATCATAATAATTTATTATTAAATATCCTTAATTATTATGGAAGGCAGTGTAGTATCTCACATGGAAGGAATAACTATCCCTCTATGTGTTTTTCAATCTTACTTCTTCAGAAAAAGAAGTCCTAAATATGAAGGCTCTCTGATACGTTATTAGCTTAAGTCAAGGCTGTGCCAGGATTTTTCATACAACTTTTCAAGTTCAAATTTTCAAGTTCTTCTGCTTTTTTACAGGCTATGTCCTAACGGTGGGATTTCTCAGCTTTGCTCTTTGTTATAAACACGGACCCCTTGTTGACGAAAGGAATGTAAATCTTCTGACGTGGACACTGCGGCTCCTCGCCCTGCTCCTGATCTATTGTGGGGTCACCGTGCCCCAGTACTCATATGCACTTATGATCCTCATCCTGTCCTCCAGGAGTCTGCACTACCCATTGAAAGCATTCAGTTATATGAGGTGGTGCGTATCTTTTTTGCCTTGTAAATTGGACATTTTGAGCTCTGATTTTATTTACTGTTTTGGTAAGTTTCTTGCACGTGTCATATTTTGTCTCATAATTAACTACATTTCATCTGGAGATTTGAGAGAGGAGGAGGAAAGAGAACGTAAGCATCGAATCCCATCTCCATTTCTAGTCTTCATTAATCTTTCAGAAGACTTCCCCCAATTACTAGGTAATTACAGCTCACCCAGAATTCACTGAAATCAGTGGCGCACTCTGGGTTGCCTAAAATTTCTACTTTCATTCTACATTTCCTTTCATTAGGGCCCAAGATTGCTTTAAAGGTATTTGTTGTGCTTATGAAATAGAGGTAGAAAAATAATTGAAAGGTATTATTTATGTTTAGGACTTTTTTTTAGGTTTTAAGTTAAGGCTTGAGCCCTTTAAAAATACAGAAAGAGAAATGAGGTAACTTCTATTGCCACAGCTTTATTATGTCTCTCCTTAGTCATTGAGTTGAACACCTGTTTTTGTGTCGGGTGCACAAACGAAGGGGATAGTTTCTTCCCTTGGTGTGTACTTGTTGAGACAGCAGCATACGTTTCTGTATCTTTGAAGTGTTAAGATGTACCTGTTCAGGGACTGTGGCACACGGAGTTCAGGAGAGTTCCTGAAGAAGAAATTACTAGGCTGAATCTTCGTGAATTAAAACAGCCAGGTGAATAAATGTGGAAAGGACTTTCCTGACAGGGAGAAGGCCCAGTCTGGTAGCATCATGAGGCTGGTGAGCAAGGTGGGCGTCAGCAAGGTTGTGGAGGCATCACAGGCTGTGTTAAGGAATCTAGTCTGATCCTGTACATAGTGGAGGCCAGAAGCCATTATGCATTTCAGTCAGCATTCTCTGCCTGCTGCTTAGACTGGAGTTATAAATCCGGTTGCTTGGGGCTGGTACTGAGTGGGTGATGCTGAGCAGGGGTAAGGCAGTGGGGCCATCATGAGGACTGTGGGAACTTCTATAGCGCAGCCTCATCAGAAAGGGGGCAGTCACTACTCAGCTTGAGCTGATTGTTGCCATGTAGGAATATGGGCCCTGCCTTGCCAGATCTTCTGTTTTTTGTTTGTTTTTTTTTGTTTTGTTTTTTAGAAAAGCTAGGAATATGGATTTGAATGTGAATTGTTATTATTTTTAAATATTGGTAACTAATCTGAAAGTAAAAATACATTCAATAGTCAAGATCAAAGCAGAGACCATGAACCTCCCTGGGTGGCAGGATGTGGCCCAACTGCCTTCTGGCACCGTAACTGCGTCACAGTGTTAAAAACGTACCAGTGACAGGACAGGGCCCTTGTGCAGAGAATGTTGGCAAGGCTGAGAGGCAGCAGGGCTGGGTCAGAGCGGCTGCTGTTACCAAAGAGCTCTCTGCCCTGAGAGGCCAACGGTGACTGGGATTACCAGAGGTCCCTCTGCTAGGAGGAGACTGGCCAGTCCACATCTCCCAGGCCTCCGGCCCTTCGCCAAGCTTGTGGCTTGAGGAACCCAAGATAGAATTTGGGCCTCTTTGCCTTTAAACATCCAGCTGCCCTGCCAGATGTAAAGTGTGTTCTGTTATCTGCATGATGGTCCTTCTGTGCACTTGCTGTGCATTCTGTTAACATGAACTTAATACAATGTTTTGTAACTTCCTTAGCTTTTCATTTTGCTAGTGAATAATTACACGAAGAACAACAGGAAAAAACAGGAACATATAGGTTAAGTAACAAACCAGAGAAATAATACCTTGATTTGTATAGTATTTTAGTTTTACAAAGAGCTGTTTGAATATATCCTAGTATATGGTAGCTACTCTCTTAATTGTCCTTGTTGAACTCTCACTATAGGCCACTAACTGTGCTAAACACTTTACATAAAATATCTCACTTAATCCCTACAGTGACCTCATGAGGTAGATGTTATTGCTTTCACTTTGTTCATATGAGCAAAGTGAGGCTCAGAACCATTAAGGAAATGCCTCAGTTGACAACTCAGTGGATAAACCTCAAAGCCAGGACTGTGTCCCAGTCTTCTGTGCAGAGACCAGAGGTTTTCCTCTAGGGAGACCAGGCTAGGTATTCAGAAAAGGAGAAGGAAATAATGTCAGTGGTACCCCAGTCTGACTCCTCACCACCACACAATCTTTAAAAGTTTAAAGGTTTTTCAGGTCCCAACCCTCAAGAGAATATATGTTTAAACCACCTTCTGGTAATTCTTATACTCATTTAGGTTTGGGAATCTCTGGTTAAATTAAATTTTAAACCACCCAAGAATATTTTTAAAAACTCATTGATAAATGTAACATATGTGTTAATACCTTATCATCATTGCCATTTTTATGAGATTCTTCTCTTTAGGACTTTTCCTGATTAGAAAAAAAAATTCCAGTATGAGCCCCTTAGCATGTAGCAAAGGAGGAGTTATAAATGATTGTACATAAACCATCCTTGTACAATAATTACTCCTCCTCTCTAGGATTAGTCAGAATCTCCACCACTAGGTGGAGGTGATATCCCACGAATCCTCCCTTCTTTTTTTTTTGGGCTAGCAACTAAGTGGTAATTGATTCTACCAGGTCTCCGCATCTCAAAGAATTGCTTCCATTAGTGCCCAAGATAATGAGCAGACCAAGCATAAAAGAGCCAGACTTTTAATGGTCTGATTGTGCAATTAAAAATCACTGAGAAGAGAAATACAATTAATATGTCTATCAGAAATTGAGCGTCAAATTCCTAGGAACATAATTTAGGAAGGTCCAGGAAGAAAGGAAATGTACTGTTCGGCCCAGACTGTGCATGTTCTATATACCTCAGTGGCGCTAAGAACCATGAGAGTACGGTGTGATATCAAGGAAGTTAAGTATTACTGTTCATTTCTAAGAAATGATTTTTTATAAATCTTAAGGTTTGAATAGAGCAGTCAAATATGACCAGGAATCTAGCAAACCATGCCACATGTTTTAGGAAAATGAAGAAATGGTTTACATCAGAAAAGCTGGTGGTTAAGTATCTTACTGAAGACGAGTACAGGGAACAGGCGGATATGGAAACGAACAGTGCCCTGGAGGGGCTGCGCCACGCCTGCCGCAGGCCTGACTTCCCCGCGTGGTTGGTCGTCTCCAGACTCCAGGCTCCCAACAAGTAAGCCCTGCTCAGCTGCTTGGACCAAATGTGGGTTAGAATGAGTGTGAAAATACTGTGGTAGTTTGTTGCACGTACTTCAGACTAGGAACAATGTGGAGGCTGTCGGAGGGTCTGCTTTTTCTTCAGTGCTCTGACTTGCAGAGAACTGCTAATGTCAGGACAGATACTTACCTGACGTGTTTGATAGGGAAGGTCAGAAAGATCACTTACAGGTGGGAAGTTACCGCTATGGAAAATCTTTTCAAAGTTTATCAAGAAAGACATCTTTGCCCCAACATCTTTTTCCTTACTTCTTTGCCTTCGTCATAGCTTTATCCAAATAACAGTGCCCTCAAATTAAACATTGAAGGGGGAAAGTATTGACATACTGAAATGACAAATGAATAATGAATCAAATAAAAAAGAGAGAAGGAATTAGAAAACAGGAGTGGGTATGTTTGGCAGCACTCGGTGCTTGTAAGTCTGCTGCTTCTCTGTTCTTTCCCTGAATATCTCTAGAAGGATCACATAAGCCGTTGTATTTTTACATCCAGTGTATAAATGCTGTTCTCTATTGCCATAAGTCAAATTTAATTAAAGAGGATAAATAGCAAGAGAACATGTTATCTTCCAAATAAACCTTTCTGTGATAACATTAACTTTATTTAAAACAAAAAAATACTTATTAGATTTGCAGACTTTGTTCTTGGAGGAAGCCACTTGTCACCTGAAGAAATTAGTCTTCATGAAGAGCAATATGGCTTTGGGGGTGCCTTCTTGGAAGAGCAGCTGTTTAACCTGAGGACTGCCTGATGACCGCCTGTACATTGACTTCATTCTGGACAAGGAAATGGGTTAAGGGCAAGGGTCCTATTAACATTGGGCAGAACTCTTCTAGGGAACAGTGGCAAAAGCATTTACTATGGGAAGGAGTCATACTGGAAAGGAAAACTAAACTATATTGAAGATAACTTTTCATTCTTTGTGAGTTCTGCTACTTATTGTACTATAGGTAGCCATCAAGGTTCTGTGAGAGTCATTACCACTTTCCTTGAATGAAGATTTTCATTAGGAACAGGGGAATCATGTTGATCTTCAAGGAGCCAGTTAACACAAACATCTGCCTTGTCAACACCAGGACATTAAATCTTCTCTTAACCCTCAGAACTTGTGTCAAAAGACGATATTGCTCTTCCTACATGTTATCAGTATAATTGCTGGAAGAGATCTGAGATACGCTGGACCAGTGTATCCAAAGTATAATCCCCAGGATGCTAATAAGTGCTAGTCAGTAAAGGGATTCTGAGGTCATCTAAGATTGAGACAAAGTTAAACAAATGTACTGTAGGACTTCTCAGAGCCGTTAATAATACTAATGCACATTGTGAATCTCCTAAAGAGAAATTGTATGCAGCAGTTTCTGACTTAATTTGACCACAGAACCCTTTTTCATGAGATTAATACTCCTTAGAACAATTTGGAAAATACTAATGATGGCAGAATTGAGGTTTGGGGAGGTTAAATAACTTGTCCATAACTACGAAGCTATTAGAGGCTGCACTGGGACTAGAACTCCAATCCTAGTGTTTCCTACAACTCAGGGTTGTAGGAAACAACCTTCAGAGGTGAGCCCAGAGGCCATCTCCCGACAGCCTTGGGTTTCACCATATTGGTGACTTTTTTATTTTTTAATAATGGACAATTAGCTATTTGATAACTATGATAGAGAAGCATTTCCTAAGGTTATATTTTAAAGCTTGATAAGATTTTTATAGACATGTATAAAAATTAGAAATGAGAATTCTGTAGTTTTTTGTATGTTGAAATTGAAGACATTTAACTTTTTGTGACATTTTGAGTTGACTCGTCCATTTTTTAAAATTGAGTTATATATATTTGTAACAGTTTCCTACAAAACAGATTTGTGATCTTTCTTCAGAGAACATATCCTTTTTTTCTTAATTCTCCAGAGTGAAATGAGGGACTGACTATGAACACTGACCCTGGGGAAAGAAGGCCAAACATAAAAGCTGAGAAAAGATGTGAACACAGCAAAACAATCCAAGGGTTAAGATGTGCTAAATTGATTCACTTTAAGAAACATAAACATAAAGAAAAAATAGTCTTTTTTTGCTGTGGTGGGTGTTTTATGCCTCTATTCTTTAAGAATGAGGACTCTCCTTTTACTAGAAGAAAGGATACAGAGGAAGGACACATAGAGAATTTAGGAGCTGCTTTCCTGAGCCAAGTTCAGTAGAGTGTTTCTGAATTGTTGAATAAGAGCATGGTTACCGTTTGGAACTTTCTATGTTGATTTTCACATGATATTTCCTCTTTGAAACGGTGTGTCAGTGTTTTACAAGTTTCTCTTTTGGCTAGGTACCTTTTAATATTAGGAGCTTTGCAATTTTTTGTGAAATGCATGAAATTCAATCTGTGCTTTCACATAGACTGATTTCAAATACCAAAGAATCTTCCATTCACATTTATGATGATTGTGATGATGATGTTTTGTAAGTATAAATGGTTCTAATGTCACTTTGTTACAGTTTAATCTGATTTTTTAATAATTAAATTTATTGCTGATATAAATGTATCAGATGTGTTAATGCTTGTGCTCACCACATTCACCTCCCAGGAGGTGGTTTTTGACAGAATGTGTGAATAACATGTGATCAGTCAGCTGGAGTTCCCAGGGGCTGTCCCAGCCAGACCCCCTAGGGCTTACCTATGCCAGGTTGAAGAGGTGCTGACTGCAGAAGGAAGCAGCACCTCATGGGTCAAGCTAACCATCACAATGAAAGCAAAAAAACAAGATTGTTCCGGGATACTGTTTTTCATGTTTATTTTTAGAGGAAATCATGGATTTGTCAGTTTCTGTTATGTGAGAACTGTGAGAAGCTGAACAATTACAAGCATTACTTGTGATACATTTGGTGTGTTTCTGTTGTGTTCATTTGATTTGGGGTTTATTATAGAGCTTTATTACAGTTCTAATCCCCATGATGACTCCCATAGGAGATCTTTTTTCTCTTCTTCCCCCTCTTCCTTTATCTTTTTCTCCCCCTTCCCCCCCGTTATTTATTTAAAGGCCTTTCAACTGTGTAAATGATCATTCAGTAAAATGGCTCTGCCCTTCACAGGTGGTTGAAAGTTGGCCTCGTGCTTCCTATCGCCATAGGTGTGCAATTATAGAGCATAGCTGAACCCTTTGTGTTACTGCCTATGCAAGATGCCTCATAAAAGCTCACTGTTGTTAGCAAGTGGGGACTATTTGACACTAAAATGTGTGGGTGAGATTTAGCGTAGGTGGCCATGCTTAATTGTATCATTCAAATGTTATTTTTAAAGGTTTTAAAACACATTTTATGTATCACAAAAAATGCTTTGTGAATTGGTTGTACAATTTGCCAATAATACTAAGGGCTGAATTAGAGGGGAGTGTCCATCTGATGTTTAGGATAATATTTGAATTTATGACCTTTTTTTTTAATCTAGAAATTTCAGATTTTAAGAGGCTTGGAATAGATGATGGATGATCAATATATCTAAACATGTGGGTGAACTAAGACCCCTGCAGTTGTGTCAGGAAAAGAAAAAGGATTATTCTGTGTGTGATTATTTCCCAGTTAGAGAAGTAGAATTTTTAAAATCAGCTTTTTTGGTCCAGCTGTTATGCATAGATAATGGATGTAGCATTTTAAAGAAGCCTGCCGTAAGACAGAGGTGTTTGTAGGTGACCCCAGGAGTAAGCTGCCTTTGAGAGACCCCCCAGTAGGTGATAGGACATTGATGAATTAACCACGTGGGTGTGAATTTTGACCTTATTGATCAGAACCCTGATTTTTGTCATTGCAATTAGCCAATTCATATAGTCTATTTAGTGATTCACAGCCAAAAATAAAACCAGCATAAGGATTAAAAACACTTGAATTGCTAAAACCAGCAGATTCTCTCCCAGAAGACCCCTATGAGGGGTCAAATGGTGGTAAGAAGGTTGCTTGAGCAGAAAGAGAACAAAGGAAGTTTGTTATATAATTCACATGTTTAATGTCACCAGACCAAAGTCTAATGCAACCACCTCAGTGGGGCTACTGTTGCTAATGTGATGAGGTACTCAATCTATTGGCAAAGACCACCCTTCCTTTATGTAGGCCCTACCAGCTTTTCCTTTCTGTGATTGTTTTTGTAATTTTTTTGTCATTGACCAGCCATTCAGATATGTTGTTAAAATCTGCAGTCTTTCTCTGGCCTACGAGTCTAGTTACCTTTTTCAGGTAACTAGATGCTTATTTTTGCTATGACCCCTGAATGTGATACCTTAATAGGTCACCGGAGATTTGGGTTGAGTGTGTATCTACTAGGATAAATCTTGGAAAACACATTCAGTCGGGTAGCTGCTTTTTGTTTCTTTTTAAGTTGTTTGGGGGAATCTGTTTACTTTTTAGATTTGGTCCATTTTCCAGCAAGGCAGTAATCAAAAGGAGAAAGGGGAGGAGTACCAGGATTTATTAGCCATCTATCAAGTGCTATACTAGGCCCTTTCTATGCCTCTTCATTTGGACTTCTAATCACTGTTTAGCATTGTTTCCATTTTTCAACTGAGGACAGATTCAGAGAAGGTTGCTAGAGGACATAGTAGCTGAAGTGGTAGAATGAGAATGTGAGCCTTAGTGTGTCAGGGCCTGGGCCTTTGTGTTGCCTTTACTGCCATCTTTAAAAAGCTGAGTTAGTCGAGTAAGTGACTCCATGGCTAATCAGCTGAAGAGATGACTACATCTGATGTTAGGCGCGTGCCAGCTCTGGGGCAATGGACCGATTCTCCTGCCTTCCATCAACCACAAACCAGTACTTTTGTACACTAAAAATAAATGAGAATTAAGTTGAGTAGCACTGATCGACATGTTCTTTTTCGAGACCCCCATTGATCTTTTCAGAGAACAAGAAGTTCCTGACCTTTTCAAAATACAAGTTTACAGTTGAAGAGAATAATATCCTCAGCTGACTATTTGGCAAAGAACAGGGTATGTAACTTGTTAAGTGCTTATAAAATTCTTGCTTACATTTTTTGACACCCCTTAGAAGAAAAAGAAATACTGAAACTGTAGAACAAATGTCTTATAACCCCTCCTATCTATGGCTCTTGCACACTATAGAATTGCCTTTGTTACTTGTTATTTTCCCCAGCTCTTCAATTTATATTTTGCTTAATTCTGTCTCTTAACTAAGATCTGCAAGCAACTTAATGATTATAATGCATGTTGGAACTGAATGCTTGCTGGGTGTAGGCAAACATTTGAACATAGCACTGTAGTTTGGGAGAATGTAGTATTACAGATTTAAATGTTAACAAACTAGTAAGAGAGCTAGGCCCTAGTTGGGGAAATGAGACCGCACTCCTCTTGCCATGGGCTGTGTGTCCCACAATGATGGCAGTATTTATACTGTGCGCTGTGTGTCAAGAACCTTATTTAAACCTCAGAACCACCTGTGAGGTAGATACTGTAATCACTGTAATTTTACAGAGGAGGGCTCTGAGGCGCAGAGAAGTTATGTATGTAAGTTCTCAATGGCAAAGCGGAGACTCAAATCCAGACTTGGGACTCCAGAACCTGAACTTCACTCCCAGCACTGTAAGGTTCCTGGGTTGCCATCTAAAATCTTCCTGGAGCCACAGTGGGGCAGGCGGTCCTGCATTAGCAACTGGAAGCAGATGCGAGCTGAGAGTTCGGCACCCCCTGGACTGGCTCATTTCTCCCCTAGTCTAGACATCAACATGTTTCCAGTTACTCTCGTAAGCCATAGTTTGTCCTGGCAGAAGGCCAATTACTTTCTGATTTGAGAGACCACTCCCCCTTTCTCTCACCCCTTTATTCTGTCCCCATCTCTCCACATCTGCTTGGTGGTTTGGAATGCTTGAGCCAGGTATTCCTAGAGCTTTGCTGAAATGGCACAGGAATGTTTTCGGGCTTCAGAAGTAGCTTCATCTTGTCCTCATGTATCAGAGGACAGAAGACCTTCTGAAAGGAAACTCACCTTTTACTTCCCTACAGTCAGCTCTCTTACAACATACCTCTTCTTCACAGAATAAGACAATGTTAGGGTCCAGTCTCTCACACTGAGATGAGAAAACTGAGGCCCAGAGATCTCCCCAAACTGATCTCTTCCTCTGTAACTACACTGTCCAGTCCACGAGCCTCATGTGGCTGTTTAAATTTCAGTAGGATGAGAAATCTAATTTCTTCAGGTTCACTGGCCACATTACAAGTGCTTAACAGCCGCCTCTGGCTGACGGCTACCATACCCGACAGTGCTCCTGGGTCCTGAATAGATCTGTCCGCTTGTCTTTCCTGACTCCTGTGACCCTGGCCTTCAGAGACCCTGCCAACCTCCCAAGTTTTCTCTACAAGGGTGCCAAACCATGCAGATCATCTCCAGAGTGTAAGGGATCTGACACTCACAATGAACAGAACACCAGGAGTTTGAAGGTACTGGATTTCTAGGCATCTGGGAATATCTAGAAATCCTAATGGAAATACAACCACACACACATGTATCAGGCACACCTTCAGGCCAGGGCTGCTTTCTCACTTGTTCTACCACAACAGAAGCATGGAGTGGCCTCCCCACCTCCTGGGGTGGGGGAAGGCGCTGGTGGTCCTGAGCTTTGGCATCGGGTAGGTCTGAATTTGTGTCATTTGGATCCTGGCTTTGTGATGTTGGTCCCATGAGGTAAGCTCTGTTAGCTGCAGACTCCACCTATTCTAGGAGCTACTCCTATACTTTAAAATGGGGAAAGTGGGGGCACCTGGGTGGCTCAGTCATTAAGTGTCTACCTTCGGCTTAGGTCATGATCCCGGGGTCCTGGGATCGAGCCCGTGTCAGGCTCCCTGCTCAGCGGGAAGCCTCCTTCTCCGTCTCCCACTCCCCCTGCTTGTGTTCCTGCTCTCGCTGTGTCTCTCTGTGAAAGAAATAAAATCTTAAAAAGTAAAATGGGGAAAGTGCTCTGTATATACCGCACTGGGTTTATTTTAAGGACAAAAAGAATCTCCTCAGCACACAGCCACCACTCAGTAACTGTGGATGTGGTTCTCCTTTTCCAAGATTCACTGCTTAACTCCAGATTGGCTTAGAGGAATACTGCTTAAGTAATGGTCCCCAGAGCACCAGCAGCCCCCGCCCTGCAGTAATGGATAAATGCAAATCAGGGAGGTGCTTAGCCAACCACTTCTGCGGCCCATGGCAGGATTAATAAGCCAGTAAAGCAGCATGTTCTTTCCTATGAATAACTTAGGCTTTTCGTGAGGTTTACTAGCTGGTGGATCTATGTGTATTCTAATCATCTAATATTCTACTTAAGGTTTTGAGTAATAGTTTAATAATTAGCAACTAACCTCTTTGGATCCATACAAGCTCAGCACTCAGCTAATTCACTTTTTCTACAGTCAGAAAGAATATGAAGTAAGACATGAAGACAGTGATTACATCAGCCCAGGCTTTGTGACAACTCGGGATTTCCAGGGAGTCAAGTGGGGTTATGAAATTCTCAAAATTTAATTTGAATCCATATTTTTTAAAGGGCGCCTGGCTGGCTCAGTCAGTAGAGCATGTGACTCTTGATCTCAGGCTCATGAGTTAAAGCCCCATGTTGGGCATGGAGCCTTCTTAAAAAGGAAATAAATACATAGAAAATTAAAAATATAAAATGTCAAATGGTGCTTTGGCGACAGTAAGAAAAAGTCAGGAAGTTCACAAACCCACGAAGGTGTCTGCCCTAAAAGTCTAGAAAGTACTACATTACTGAATCAGCTTTCATAGTAAATGTTCCATCACAAAGACCTGTTGAATTTGGTCACAGTTATTACAGAGTAAAGGGCTTTTATTTGTTTGGTCACATCTTTATCATTTAAGAAATTTTTAAAAATGATATTTATTTTTATTTCAACATGTCAACTGTGCATTTCCAAAACAGCAGGCTTTTCAAAGGAATAAATCAGAACTGTAAACACAAGACACAGTATAAGTTTTTGACTTCCTAGAGTCAGTTTCACAAATCCACATACTGTACATTCATAGGTGAGGTTCAGCCTGTCATCCATTTCTTTATTTCTATAATTACATAAGCATAATAAATACATCTGATTTTAAAGGTCACTTAAAATGAGTCATGATAATTTACAGTACAGTACGTTTTCAGTTCAAGTGCAAAAATAACTATTTGCTTAATTCTATTTCTTTCTGTTATTATATTTTTAAGCTGTGTTTTGTGGCAAAGCTAGACATCCAAGTATAGAATTTCTTCTCCCAGGTGCAGTATTGGGCAGAAGTATGGTGTCATGGAGAAGCCCTCAGTTTACAACTCATCCTGTCTAATCAGGGTCAGAGGTAAGGTGAGTTGCTCATTTTTAACTCTGTTCTTTCCTTTCCTCTCTCCTGTGCTCACTCACAGTCATTACACATACCATAATTGACCTTCATTCAGCTAAAGCAGCATTCCCTTTTCCACAGCCCTCCCCCAAGGCTTCCTCATAGCCTCAGTTTTTCATTTTTAGCAGCAGGCTTTATGCATGAATCACTCAGCCACAGTTCTGACTGTAGCTATGATATTTACAGTAGCAAACCCCTATCTGATCTGTCCAGTGTCCGACAGTATCTTCATGGAAAAGAATATACTGAGATTTGTTTTTTTAGTCATTGGAAAATATAGTTCTCATCCTTTCCATTCCTGGCTTCCTAGTCACCACCTTTTCCCCTCACCAAAAACAAAACAAAAACTTACGCATTGTGTAATTTTTAAAAATTGTATCCCTCTCCCAGGCACTTAAATCTTATACTGTTATTTGTAAATAGTACTGCTTAATTAAAGAAACCCCTAGGAATTCGGTAATTTTTTTTAAAATTCCATCAGCTACTTATAGCCCAAATCACTATAAAATTGTTAAACAGTGATCGAGGCTATTTACAGTATTGATTAATATTTAGTAAACCCTTGTCTGTCAAGCCATAGGATACTGAATTGGTTGGTTTATTTGAAATATTCCCTCCTCTGGTCTTAAAGCCCATTTAAAACAAAAGGCGTTTTAAAGCTCAGGTTAGTTTGCAGTAGTCAATACGGCTTTTGCTGCTCAAAGAATTGACTATTTTCATTATATACCATATACATATAAAAATATATTTGCTAGAGATATGCCAAGTTTCTGATGAAACTTTTTCCTTTTTTTTTTTAAACAAAAGCATATAAGCTAGTAACTTCTCTGGCTACTTTTTTAAATATGTCATGTAATTTTTTAAATAGTTCTCTTCAAGAGAAACAAAATTATAGATACATTTTATCTCTTCCCAGTTTGCGTTAAGAACCACGTAATTAGAATAAATAATCAGAAGAGGGAAATTGTGTCAGCATTCACCTTGAAACACTTCCTTCCCCTCCACTTACTTAGTGTAACTGCTGCTTTCAACCCTTACTGCACTGGCAAAGAAGTCCTACAGTCCTTAACCTAACCAACCGAAGAACTGGAAGTCTTCACCGAACTCCCATTCCCCTTCTGTGATTCCAGTGGGATTATGGAAAGTTTACCTGTTTCTGCCAGTATGTACTGTAGCTCCTGTGTATGTATGTGTGTTTCCATGTTGATGAGTTCAGGTATTTAGAAGCGTAAATAGTGCTATGCTTCTCAAGGTGAGGCATGTCTTAGGTTCAGGGAGCCTCTCCCTCTGTCCTGGCAGAGGAGCCTGGTTCCATGCAGGGTGTGAGATGAGTGGGAGCCCTCAGTGTCCCCCAGTGGCAGGCTGAGCCTGTTGGTCCTCGCTCTCCTCCACACGCTGGTCCACACTGGGGTGAGTGGGGCTGCTCTGCGTCTGAGATGCTGCTGCTTGAGGGGATGGCTGGTTTCTAGATGGGTCAGAGTGAGTCTCACATGGGACAGGCCGGACTCCACCAGCTAGAGAATTTTCCCGATTCTCATTGGTCCCCTGGAAGGAAAAAAAGAGAAGATGTTCTGTAGTCAGGGCTGCTTGCAAATATATCCAACATTTTTCATATGCCTTCAAGTAAGATACAAGAAACATGGGGAGATCATCCTGAAGTAACTTCAGGGAACAAATAATAGAGGAATAAAGATAGAATGTCTTACCTTTCATCTCCTTTCCTATGTGCAACTGCCAAAGCCGCATGAAAAACACAAACACTTTAAGCAGATGTATCTTGTGGATAAAGGAACATCACTACCAAAATGCCTGGTACTACTAAGAAAACAATTTACATCAGCAAATATTTACTGAGCCACCACCATTGTGACAAGTCACTGAGCAAGCAGCATGGAATTGAACAGAATTCAAGAGCTGGAAGCACCCGTCTGACAGAAAGTAAGGAAGGCATTCTTAGCCTCAGAGAAAAGCCAACAAAAGAATGTCCTGAAATTAAGGGTCCTGATGAATACTTGGGATTTAAAGTGTACACTACAAGTTAAGACAGAACATCTGTGTAAAAAAGGGGAATGGAAACAAGCACTTAGGTCACCAATAGTAAGTAACTGTGAGTCCACACATACTCCAGCATATCACCCCCGCCCCCAGTATGTCTGTAAAATGCTACATCGCCAGAGTCCTGATTGATACAAATCAGGAAACATGTTTTTTTAAAAACAGATTTTCCTCTGAATTAGTATACATCACTTCAAATAGCTGACCACCAAAGAAAAAGTTTTATTTCTGTGATCAATTCTAAAATGTAAAGAAATCTTAATATGATGACTTCTTATTTGTAAGAATAACTAAGCCATACCAGCCAGTTTTTATTAATCCTAACATGCCAGAAAAAAAAATGCAATGATAATATGTAGACCTAATAGGCTTCCGTGAAAATGAGGAGGAGTACCCAAAGTAATGAAAACACTACTATTCAAGCAGAAGATCTTATCCCTTCTTCTGCTTCACCTCGCTGCTTCGCATCCTTCATATGCTCCTTCCACCCCAAGACTCTTTTTTGACTGAGCAGGACATTCATGTGAGTTTATGATCTTGATAAATGAATAAGATCATGCATAGACCAGGATGCATTATGAGTATGGGAAGACTCAGATTTGGTTTAAATTATAGAAATATTACATGTTAGTTTACAAAGTCATGATAAATTTAATTAAGGAAGTTCAAATTTTCTAAAAAGGAAATTATCCAAATTACTCTTTATTTTTGTCTTATGTGTTCTCTGAAGCTACTCTAGATATAGAGCTGACATGACTCATCAAGTAAAAGGATATGATTAATAGAAACAGGGAAGTAGACTCATTACTTTAGCTGAACTATTCATAGAAGTCACACTTGATCGTTTCCAAAGGCAGTAGATAGCTTTAGTTAACAGTTACCCATACTGTTTTATCAACATGATCTGACTACTCAGGAGAGACTGTATCTCTAGGGACGAGAAAAAAACACAATTTTTCATGTGAGGCCACCAGCAAAACAACACTCCCACTAATTTGAGTATTCCATTAGACTCATACAGTGGCTCAGGGTATTAATTCATCAGCTATTTACTGAAGTCCTATTATATATAAGGTCCTCACTAGAATTTCAGAATAACAGAGATTAATAAATAATGGTCTCCCGTGGCAAGAACCATATATTCTCACTGGAACTGGTATCTGTCAACACTGAAATTTTAAAGAAAAGTACAATTTCTTGGATTTATTTTCTTTCTTTCAAGAAATATCTTCTCTGTGAAGCCTTACTGAGCTCCATAAGGCAGAATTTTCCCTCTGTAGAACCTTGTATATACCTCTATAATGCACTTGTCACAGAATACTGAAATTATTTGTCTGCATGTTTGTTTTGCCCACCAGACCTTCCATAAATCTCGTTGAGTGAATAATTAACACAGCTGAGCCCACTTAAGGGAGTGCCTTTACCTGCAAAGGCTGTATCTCAGGAGCACGGTTGTCTCTTGTTAGCTGCATCATCTCTTTAATTTGGTAGAGTGCATAGACAAAAGTCACCCAGGGAGAGGAGCTGACCCCCCAAGCTGGCTTGTTCACATCCTCCTGTTCTTCCTGGTGCTTGGTTTTCCTGGGCGGAAGTCTGGGCTCAATGCGTGGCATGACATCCTCTGTCTGTTGCTGTACCAAGTCAATGGTTGCTATGGGAACAGGACTAGAGGGAACAGGAATCCTTTCTGCCAGCATTGTCTTGTCTGGAGAGAAAATCATGTTTAAATCATTTTTCAGAGTTTTCTACATATTTAAACAAACATAAAAATAAATAAGCAGACAATCCCATAAGCCCATTCTAGTGTACTTGGCCACATTAGTAAATTACTGTGTATCGAGGGCCTCTTGGTGCAAGTACTGAACAACAGATGTGATGTTTATCTTCCAGGATCTCTTTATAGGTATTAATAGATATTAACTTATATTTATTTATGAAGTGTATTCTTCATTACACTTAGATATAATTTAATCTGTGGGCATGGGTTATCGTGAATGTTGTCTTAGGCCCACTTACAGGACTGAGTTTTTAAAGATAAGCATAAAACCAGTAATAGCTGTTTTTATTGGCCTTTTACTGAAGGCATGGACTAACACTCTATAATCCATTTAAGATTTTTTAAAAAAGTGAGAAAAAAAAGTATTGGTCTTTCTTTCTGTATAACTTGTTAGCATTAAAATCTGCCTCTGGGGTTTTCTGTAACAAGCTAGTTTTTCCCTAAACAGAAAAAGGTGCTTGAGGCAAATGCTCCTTAAAGACTAGGACACCAGGGGCACCTGGGTGGCTCAGTCGGTTAAGGTTAAGTGTCTGCCTTCGGTTCAGGTCATGATCCCAGGGTTCCTGCATCAGGCTCCCTGCTCAGCCGGGAGTTTGCTTCTCCCTCTTCCTCTACCCCTTTCCCCTGCTCATGCGTGCTCTCTCTCTGTCTCTCTCAAATAAATAAATCTTTAAAAAGGAAAAAGAATAGGACACCAAAGAAGATGAGCCTTGTTCTGGGACCCAAGAGCTAAGCAAGACTGGTTGGTTTTCTTCATTAAAAAGAAAAAAGTTGATTCAACTTGTACATTATATTTGATATGACCTCCTTTCTACATGACAATTTTAATGAGGGTCATGCCTGGTTAAGGGAAAACTTCAAATTTAAGTTTTTAGATACTTTTTCCCAAATGAATGTAAAAGTATAACAATTAATAACACTCCCTATCCCTAGGAGTAAAATTGCTGTATAGGTTAAATGTATGTGATTTAAATTTGAAATCCCTTTAGAGTACCAGAGAAATTTAAAACCAGTTCTTCCCATACTACCTTGTACTACAAAACAAAACAAAAACATGAAAACCCCAAGCTACTTAAAATGACCAGCATTCGTTTCAACACAGAAGACAGTTTCTCTCTAGCAGTGGTACACATAAATTCATTGATACACACCACTCAGAAAATCTAGCCAGGCAGGTCTGTTACCACCTCTGGGTTTCTGAGGGGTACGTATAGAATTCTCCATGGCTTCAACCTTAGGAACCAGTAAGAGAGAATGGACAGGCTTACCTTCTTCCTCATCTGGTACTGCCAGCCACTGGATCAGGGCAAAAAGCAGGAGGATCACCAGGCAGGCCATGCCGATTCCTCGAAAGGTTGCAGCAGCCCCTGTGGAAACAAACAGAGCACTATACAGAGTAATTCCAGGAAATGCAGATAGCCTTCATCCAAAACTGTCAATGTGCCGAAGTTCAGGGCAAAGGCAGCAGGGCTTGGGATGAACCAGGGAACGATGACTAGTCAGTGGCTTCATACAGTGGACAACAGGCCTGGTAAGTGCCAGGAGCCCCCAGTGCTGGTACTGGATTGGTCATGCATCCAATTTTAAAACTACATTTACAACGGATTGTCTCTGAGTGCCTCTTACCATAAAACTCAGTGGTGCTCTCTTCTTCCTAAACACCCTTTACCTGTTAAACAGCCCTATTAATCAGTAGTTGGAACAGCAGAACTCGAATAGAGCTATAAATTCAGATACCCTCTGCCCACCTTGCATAGATGACTGAGCAGTCCAGATTCCTTGAGCAGGATAATCTCCTCTCCACGCCACCCCCTGTATTTCCGACAAGGGAGGCTGGACCGGGCAGACAGACTGTGTCATCAGAGATGCAGCGACATTACCAAAGGCAGCAAATAGCTACATTTTTCTGAAATAATGATGACTTTTCTTTCCTCTAGCATTACTATCAGCAGGTTTAGGGTACCTTGCTTCAAACCAAAAGCACAGGTGTTTCTTCATGTGCTTGGCTCCTCTGAGGTATCTGTGTAGCATCCCATTAGGTGTTTGTCACACAAGTGTGCACAGTTCCGGGGCTGGCTCTAATCATCGTAATGACTTAAGCACACTGCCTAACAACTATGACCGCCATGAAAGGGAGAAAGATAATATGAATCCTGGAGTTTGGCTTCCGGCAATCTTCAGTAATAATGTGAGTGTTTACTGAGGTGCTGCTGAAAAATTGTGTAAGTTCTCAACAAAGAAGAAAGGGAAAAGGAGAAAGCCATTCTTACCAAAATAATTGACTAATACGCCTCCGATCATGGCACCACAACCTCTCCCCAGACCCAGGTGAAGGCCCTGCAGGATGCCCTGAGCAGAGGTCCTCAGCTCAGGGGGAACAGCTGCACTGAGGTAAGAAATGCATGCTGCCCAGATGGCTGCGTGCGTCACTCCTGGAGAGGAAGAAGAGTGGGAGTGTCTGATGAGCATTCCTTAGTTTACTCTTTTTTGGAGTGCGAAATATTTACTTAATTACACACACATACATACTAAGGACATATACTTGATTTCTAGTAAAATATGCATAACAAAATTTACCATCTTAACCATTTTTAAGTGCATGGTTCAGTAGCATTAGGTACATTCAAAGTGGTATGCAACCATCCATCTCCAGAATTTTTTTTTTTTATCTCCCAAACTGAAACTCTGTACCCATTAAATAATAACTCTGCTTAGGCCCTGGAAACCGCCATTCCACTTTCTCTGAATCTGACTACTCTGGGTACCTCCTATAAGTGGAACCATTTATCAGTGGAATTGGCACTTGTCCTTTTGTGTCTGGCTTATTCACTTAGCATAATGTCCTCAGAGTTCATCTAAGTTGTAGCATGGGTCAGAATTTCCCTCCTTTTTAATATTCTCTTGCATGGATATAACACATTTTATTCATTCATCTGTTGATGGACATTCCAGTTGTTTCCTCCTTTTGGCTATTGTGAATCCTGCTGCTACGTGTATGGATGTTCAAGGATCTGCTTGAGTCCCTGCTGTCCGTTGTTTGGTGTGTACACCAAAAGTGGAATTACTAGGTCATAGGGTGATACTATGTTCCACACTTTGAGGAGCTGCCTGCTTCCCACGGTCACTGTACCACTTTACATTCCCCTGAGAAATGCAAAAGAGGCAGTTCCAATTTCTCCACACCCTTCCCAGCACTTGTCATTTTTCATGTTTTTTTATAATAGCATTCCTAACAGGTATGAAGTGGTATCTCATTGTGGTTTTGATTTGCGTTCCCTAATGGCTAGTGATGCTGAAAATCTTTTTATATGTTCACTGGCTATTTATGTAACATCTTTGGAGAAATGTCTGTTCAAGTCCTTTGCCTATTTTTTTGAACTGGGTTGTTTGGGTTTTTTTTTTTTAAGATTTTTTTTATTTATTTATTTGAGACAGAGAGAATGAGAGACAGAGAGCATGAGAGGGAGGAGGGTCAGAGGGAGAAGCAGACTCCCTGCTGAGCAGGGAGCCGGATGCGGGACTCGATCCCGGGACTCCAGGATCATGACCTGAGCCGAAGGCAGTCGCTTAACCGACTGAGCCACCCAGGCGCCCCTGTTTGGGGGTTTTTGCTGTTGAGTTGTAGGAGTTCTTTATATATTTTGGGTTTTTAACCCCTTACTGGACACCCATTATGACTTAAGATTATTTCCAATTTTTTCCATTATAATTAGCACCATGATTAAAATTTCTAGAGATACAGCTTTTTACATATCTGAGATTATTTATCTGGTTATAATTCTACAAATAAGGTTACTGATTCAAAGGATATAATAATTTTTATGCCTTTTAATATATGGTTCCAATTTGTTTTCCAAAAGAGTGTAGAGACCATTTACAGTGCCTCAATACCCATTTTGTTATATTTTCACCATTTGTTGGGAGGGAGGGAAGGATAAAGGTAACAGATGAAAAATAATTTTGGTATAGCAACTGTGCACTGTCTGAATTTAAATCTTTTATTAGAGCACTGCTTTAAATGTAATAAAAAGATCCTGCCACAACAGGTTTTATAGCTAGAAGGGGTTAAGAAATCATCTGGTTCTGCCTAGATTAAGTCATGAGCTTGCTCCCTGAAAAATAATCTCATTTTGAGATAATAGCATTCATTACCTATGTTTTGAAAAATTAAACTATAAGATAAATATTCATTTAAGATTTAACCTGACATTAGTCTGCTTCTGACTGAAATGGAATAATGGACTGGATTTGCCCTCCTTCTGAAACAAACAAAAACTGGACACAATATATGAAACAGTAGTTCCCAAGACACTGGACATCAAAACAAGGACAGTGATCTCTGATGGATGGGAAACAAATGAGGAGCCCTAGCTTACTGCCTGGTTAGAGTTTGAAAGCTGCAAGGCATAGAGGGGGAGCCACTGAGTTGAGGAGCAGCAGCCGACAGTCTGCAGAGACCACGGCTGCTAGAGTTCCAGAGAGCGCGGAGTACCAGGGAGGAGAGAGCTTTACAGAGAGATCCCACGGGCGTCGGCAGGTGGTCTCCCTCAAGTGCTCAGCAGAGTGTTGCAGCAAAAGCATGGGTACAGACTGTCCACAGCCAGGGAAAGAACCATCCAAACGCATTACAGAAAACAGTACTCAGAACCTACACAGGGCCAGGAAAAGTACCACCAGTTTCCACCAAACTGGAAAACTCATGATTCCTGGGATTGGGAGGGTACTCAAAAGGGCCTTGTGTTAGTATTATGACAGAATGAGAATTAGTCTGAACACTGCTTTGGTCCCACCTAAGGAATCTTCACAAGCAAAACCCTAAAGGATCATACTATTTCCAAATAATTTATCTGTATCCTAGTACAAAGCTCAAGAATATTTATAGAAATGCAAAAATATCCAGCACCCAACAAAGTAAAATTCACAATGTCTAGCATACAATTAAATTACCAGGGATGATCCTAAGTGGACCCAATAATGGAATAAACACTGTTTTTACTGGATACCTAGTTAAATAATAAATATAATTTTTATGAGGTTTATAGGTTTCAGTAATCATTTCAACTAGGTTATTTTTTAACTAGAAAAATGGACTAGATGATTAGAAATAGTATGCATATTTAATTTCCACAGAAGTCAAATAAAGAATTTGCTTTATCTGACTAAACAATTGCAATACCTTAGATAATACCAGCTTTCTCAGAACTGAGAAAGCTGGGTAGTCTTTTTTTAAAAGATTTATTTATTTTAGAGAGAGAGAGCAAGCAGAGAGAAAGGGACAGGGAGAGAGAGAATATCAAGCAGATTCCCCCTTGAGCGTGGAGCCTGACGCGGGGCTTGATCCTAGGACCCTGAGATCATGACCTGAGCAGAAATCAAGAGTTGGAAGCTCAACCAACTGAGCCACCCAGGCGCCCCCTAGAGTCTTAATTATAAATGTTGACACAGTAGTACACAGTGGAAATATTCTTAAATATTTCCCTTTATATTATTAAAGATGCTGCTAATTCCATTTCTTTTCAGATATGCATATTTCTTCATTAACAACACTAAGGAAAAAACTTAAATATTCTAAGAATTAAGATGAATGTATTCAAAATTAGATTAGTAAAATCCAACATAGATGTGGAAATCATTTCTTAAAGATGAATCATCAAAGATCTGAAACTACATTAAATGATTATAAATTAACGTTAATAGTGAAGCCAAATTGATCCTTATATCTGTGTGTGAGCAGTCAATTGCTGGATTTACAAGTAGACCAAGATGGGCCTATGTATTCATGTGACCAAAACAATAACATATTTTTGTTATAATTCCAGGTCAAATATAATTCCAACAGTAAAGAGAGTTTCTTTTTCTTCAAAATTCTAAGGATTTTCTAAAACATTGAGTCTTCTAAGATAATTAAAGCATCTTCCAGAAGGATGACTTAAGTCAGGATTCTTATTAAAGATTCTAAACTATTCTTAGAATTTTGGGGCTAGTATTATGTGGCAGTTGTAAAAGATTCTCTGTAGTCAGATTTCTAGAGTTTCCTTACTGCTTTTTGGGACTAATTAGATAATTGGGAACTACATTCCTTAAAGCAACTCAGAGCATTAGCTGAAGGAAAATATAGTAAAGCATACAGTAAAAAATTTTCTTTGGTACCAAAAGCAAAAGAATGAAAGCCACTCTGCCTCTATGCTCCAATATTCTCCAGGGCAGATGTAGAATTAAAAATTGGTTTCTCTGAGATCCCTTATTTCAAAATATGTAAATACAAGAATCCATACTACTTCCTAGAAAAGAAACTAGCAAAACTGAAAAATCCCATGAAACTTCTAGTAATATTAGTTATCTGAAACTCTTGCCAGTGTTTTTACTAC